AAATTTATGAAGTTCTCTTCAGTCTCCTCACTGTTCCCTGGGGTTTCAGGGGTTCCCTGGAGTTCCAGGTCAGGGTCAGGAAGACAAAAAAAAAAAAAAAAAAAAAAAATTACTCAGAGGTTTGTGCATCCAAGGCTGTTTTATCCAGCTTGAGACCACTTCCTAGAGGCCTGGGATGCTGTTTCTTTTGGGGGAGTATTTACTGCTTTTGCTGCCACTCACAGAAGGTCTCTGGGCACTTGAGACAAATGCCTCCCCTGCACAAAAAGTGAAGCAAAAAGGTGTAGTCTCAAATTGGAAGCAAATCTTTGGGATTTGAAGGGGGAAAATAACATGGCAGCKGTTTAATAATGTAATTAGTGATGTATTCTAACAAAATTGCCTTCTTAAGATCCTGACAAAGCTGAGCTTAGCTGGTTCCTCTGCTGGAAGGAGTGAGCTCACCAAAAGGAGTSAAAATGGGAGTTTAAATTTCGGTGGAGCCTGGGGATTTCAGTCTGACTATGAGCTGACTATTTCAGTTTGCTTCCTGTCACAGATTTCTCAGCAGCTTGGCTTTCTGGGGATTTGCAGAGGGTGGTACTTCTGTTCCAATGCAGGGCTGAAAGAAGAGTGGGCGTGTGTGAGAGGAGTTGCACAGCGAAGGAAAGTGCGTCACTGAGATGTGAAGGGAGCAAATAGAAAAGAGGTTAGTGGGAAAATGGAGAATTCCATCAGTGGTGTCCATCAGTCAGGATGAGAAGTTTAAAGGCAACAGGGTTGAGCCTGGGTGGTGTCTTGAGACAAAAAAACAAAAGGGGCCCCAGTGAAGAGCTTTGATCCTTGAAAAATACGACCTTGTCAGCAGGGTGAGGGACAAAATTTATTAACTCTCCTTCCATAGGCAGTTCTGTTCMCTTGTAGCTGCAGGTGAAATCAGTGGCTCCTCTGGTGCCTCACTGAGAATAAAAAACCATGCACCGTTTTGGCAGCTTGAACGCCAAGAGAAAATTGAATCAGGAAAGTGCAGGGACCTCCACTGAAAACTGCTGGGGGTTATTCCATACATTTAGAGCAGATTTATGGGAAGTGTGTGCCTAGAGATTCTCTGTGTCCAGAGAGCAGTTGGGTTGCCCTGGTGACCTTCTAATGGTTCTAATTCAGGACCATCTTCCTGAATCATCAGTTTACACAGACCAATCATCTCTTGCTACATGTAAATACCAGTGGTAACTTTCTCTCTGGTCACTTTTCACATAAGGCCCTTATGCTTTTATTTGTTGCTCTTTGGATTTTTGTTTACAAGAGGGAAATAATGGAAAGATGAATTGTCTGACAGCCAGGAGGAGGCTCAGCAACAAATAACAACACATTAGGAGAAATCATTCAGTTTTTCCTGAATGCCAAGAACCCCAACAGTTCCTGACCTCTTGGAGTTTTGCCTGCCCAGACACAATCTTCATCTCATGTAAAAGTAGTTAAAATATTTACTGCATTCTAAGAAGTAAGGGCAAAGTACAAAAATTTCAGAAACTTGTCCTGTGGAAAGCAGAATAGTGAAAAATAATATCACAGCCTTTACTAGACTGATGTATTCTTTATCTCCAGAATTTAATGCAGATTGCTTTGCATTCACTTGAAGACAGCAGGAGCTTTTTTCTTATGAAATTCAGTGCCTATGTGTTCTTGCATTTGGAAGATAGGGCTCTCASCAGATTTAGATCCCATGTGTTGCAGTTTTATTTCTGCTCCTGAGTTACAGAGTTATTCAGGCTTGTGTGGGGCAGGGGTCAGAATTCCAGCTTTGGAGAAGARACCCTCCTTTTCAGCATGGAAACAGTGACCTGGCAGTGCATTCAGAGAAACAGCAAAGATGCAGCCTGTGACTCAGCAGCCAGAGTGTGAAAAACAACTGTTGTGTTGGCTGCTGGTCTGACATCACCTGAAAATCCTATTAGACCACATTTTCTACTTAAACAAAACATTGCCAGAGGTCTTCCTTAACAAGGCTACCCTGCTGTAATAGCATGAATCGCATACAAATTCACCAATTTTAAAAAAGAAATTTTTTTTTTTTTTAAGCTCAGCTCTATATCTAACAGAATACATCAGATGCTTCACGGTGCCAAGGGTTTCACCAACACCTACAGGAAATCAATCAAAGGCTCTAGCAGAAGGCTGAGSGAGGGGAGATGTGTGTGTAATCTCATTCCTGCCTACTGAGAGCCATTGAGAGCAGCAGCACCACCTTCAGCATTTCTCTGCAAAATATGGAGGGTTTGGGATGTGTTTGTGTGACACCCACTGCCCTCTCCCCCACCATGGGTGGAACGAGGCATCTTGCCCTCTTTTAAAGTTCCCCCAGCCTCAGCAGCAGCAAGGCTTTTAAGGGACGTGTTTTTCTTCCCTTTTTAGGAAATCCTGTCCCCTTTTTGCTGTGCTGCTCACAGTGACATCAGCGAGTGACGGAGTCTGGGGGAGGCAGCCCCAGCCGTGAGGAGGTGATGTGCTGATGTGTGCAGAGACCTTCTGTCAGTGTTCTCTGCCCCAGCCCTGTCCCACCCCCTCATCCTGTGCCTTTCCAGGCTCAGAGCTGTTCCCATCTGGGCAAGGGGACAAATCTGTGTCCCCAGTCCCTCGGAGGAACTCGTTGGGTGGTGGCTGTCTGTCCCTGAGGAGCACCAGCCATGCAGATCTCAGGGCAGCACAGGGCAGGGAGGGGCAGGACAAACCCCCTGGTTTATGCTCACAGGGGCCACGTTGCCATCCAGGTTCATTAAAGACATTTGTCACTCCATCCTGAACCACAGGGCTAAACCCAAATGCTGTCCTTTGCCTCGGTGGGAGCTTCTGTGTCAGTGAAGGGAAGACTCAGACCACTCAATATGAGTTATAAGCGAACTCCCATTTATTGTAAACAATGTCCAAGTTTTATAACACACATAATAAGCTCATACATATTCTGTAATACATGTATTTCATAGGTCCACGTCTTACACGTCAACTCCACCTTTAATGATTCCTTTCCCAAATTTCCCTTATCTACTTCTACTTTTTCCCAAGGCTAACTAACACAAATACCTCGTAGGGAGTTTCCAGCAGCTTAAAAACATGATGTCCTTGCATTGCCTTCCCATGGCCTCAGAAGGATGGTTCACACAATTTCAGCAATTATTCTATCTGAGCACAACACCTGCATTCCTTCATCTCACCAAGCTGTAAAATGTCTACGTGACCCCTCTCAGCTTAGCCAGCCTTCCACACTTCTGTGTTTTAGGGTTTTTGATGGTTTTTGACGTGGTGGCTGGTKGCCAGTCCAGGCTCTAGATCACTCTAGCAAGGTAAATTCAGATGGTGTGGAGTCACTGRCCTGCTTCTTCAGCAAACCATCCCTGCACCCTGCAGCTCAGGGGGCAACCTTGGCAATGCTGCTGGGGAAGAGACACCTCAGGAAAGATGTCCTGTGCCTTGCATAGCAAAGATAGAGATAGAGAGGTGTTAAATCCTCCTGTGTCAGACCAGGGGGGTGTTTTCCCTTCGTTTTCCCTTCCCTTCACTCCCTTTCCACAGCTCTCAGGTTGGTGGGCATCAGCATTGAGTGATAGGAACTGAGATGTCAAACTTCTCATCTCATTGCTGCATGGACCTTCTAAGAAAGCATAAAAATCAAGACCACAGGAGATCTTAACCATTCTCTAAGTATTCAGCTACTGAATGTTTTGCCCTTTAGCCCAYTGCATGTTTTAATAAGAAAGAAAGTTACGAGAAAGAGAAAATTACAAGAAAGAGATAAGTGTCTCATTTATCTTTTATTTCAGTCCTGGCCACCATTGACAGTGGTGAGCTCAGCTCACCAAGCAGGGTAGCACCAGATGGGATGATTTTGGGAGCCCTTACACACTCAAAATACTTCCAAGGATAAAAAATCTCCAACCTTTCTTCATTTTCATATCTCTTTTAAAAAACATGTGTGCTTTACAAACAGCTGCCCTCTAAAAGGGCAAAGTAATAAACTGATGAAGGATGAAGCTAGATTAGTTGCTGGTTGCAAAATTCATGGATTGTATAAAGATCTGTACAAATGCAAACACTTTTTTGTGGTGGGATGAGGAGATTTGGGTTTCTGGAGTTCTTGCTTGAGCCTGAGGAGAGTGGTTGCCCTATTGCACAGTATGGGCTCAAACAGGAGGTGGCTAAAAATGGGATAAAAATGTCACTTCTRAGCACAGACTGTCTTATCTCTGGGAGATTGAAAAAAAAACCTTAATTAAGAGTGCTTCAGTGTGTGGTGACCTTTCAGCCAGCAGAGATGGCTCTGTTGGTGCAGGGTGGAACTAATGCTTGAAACCAAGCAGCCTTCCTACAAGAGCTGCTAGGAAAGCCTCCCAAGGACATAAAAACCCTGAAGCAGGAAAAGAGGCACTGCTGGGAAAGCCAAGAGTGGCTGGGAGGATCCCCAGGGAAAAAAGAGGCACTGCTGGGAAAGCCAAGAGTGGCTGGGAGGATCCCCAGGGAAAAAAAGAGGCACTGCTGGGAAAGCCAAGAGTGGCTGGGAGGATCCCCAGGGAAAAAAGAGGCACTGCTGGGAAAGCCAGGAGTGGTTGGGAGGATCCCCAGGGACAGCAGGACAGAGCTGCTCCCATCCTCATCACCACTCTGCTAATCCTGGCACTTGCAAAGCTTGTGTCAAAGCTTGTCACCAAAGTTTCCTCTGGGGGAAACATTATGTGGAAARGTGAAGTGGTTTGATGTTTTCTAAATGAAGCATTTCAAATTCTCATACCAGAGTAACCCTTCATCCCCAGCTTTTGCTTGGTTTTGTTTCTAGAGAAGCAAAACCTTTCTTTTTTATTTTTTTCTTTTTAAATGCTTCAAGTACTAATTAAAACAAATATTTTAAATCCATAAGAAATAGGTGATTAGTTTTCTTACCTTTATATATTTTGTGTATGTTATGTAATTAATATTAATTTTTAAAAACCAAACTATAATAATACAAACAGCTCTGGTTTTGGTTTGCCATGCTGCCAGGTAATTGTTGTGCTCTTGTGTTTGRTCTCTRGTCTGCTGCCAAACCTTCAGGTGTRGTAAAGTAACAAACMAMCTCAAGTGACAGCACTACTGAGGATMAAAATCAGAGACAGAAATAAGTGGACTTTTCTAGGAARGAAMAGAACACATCATTCCAGCATCACCATTATATATTTTTGAGTGCTGTCATGGGCTYTTTCACCCCCATGATCTGATCCCTGATGGTTCTTTAGCACGGTGATTCCAGGGCTTTCTCTCCTTGTAAGAAGGAAATCACCAGTAATTTATAACTTCAATACCAGAGATCTGATTTCTGGTAGTAAATCACTCTAATATTACTGCACCTCGCACTATTTCTCTTTTTTCCTTCTTTCTCTGTGTGTCAAGGTTTTACATTCTTGGAAGTTTTTCTCCCTTTCTGCTGAAGGCAATAGCAAGAAGGAGCAGTTGCAGCAATTTTTTTTTTGGAACTTAGGAGGTGTGAAGTATTCTCCTTATGGTCTAATTGAACCTGTTAAACATTTTGCAAAGGTTTTTGATAGGTCTTCATATAATCACATTAATGATACGTTGTTCCTTTCTCTATTTCTTCCTCTTTTTTTTTGTTTTTCCCTTTGTCTCATTACAGTTGAAACTTTAGAGGAAAAAACAGCAGACTCCTTGCAAGATTTGTACAGAGCCTTGGAGCAGGCCAGCCTGTCTCCATTAGGAGAACACCGGATTTCCACTAAGCTGGACTATCAGAAATCTTTTATAAAGAGATGTAGCGACCCAGTAGTCAATGAAAAACTGCACCAGCTGCGAATTCTGAAAAGCACTTTAAAGGTGAGATAAAACAGGGAGGAAAAACCCTGCCCCAGGGTTGGATTGGGCTGGACTGAAATTGGAGATTATGGTGTGCAGCTGGAGTTCAGTGTGCAAACAAGGGAGATGTGGGGAAAAGCTGCTTGAAAAGCAGAGAAAAATGTGCCATGGAGAGCAGTTGAAGTGAGGGGATCAGTTTTTATTTCTTTATTTTCTTGTATTTAATCTCCTTTAGCTAGTTTAACAGAATTTGACACCAAAATACTGGAGGAAACCTTAATCCCTTTTTTGTCCCTGAACGTTTTCATTTACCAAAACACATTCAATTTGTAATTGCTAACTAAAGTTAAGCACTGCCAGGCTTTGGAAGGGGCTGTTTCTCTTGTGACACTTGGCTGTTTCCTAACTGATGAGRAAACTGTGTGCTTGCTTTCTGTGTAAGCTGATAGGATCGTTGTACTTAATCAGTAGGATTGATTGAATAAATAGATAGTGCTAATGATGGATTTGAAGATTTTTTATGGTTATTTTAAATGTACCACAGCTCATTTAGCCTCCTTGTCAGCATCCTTTGTTTGTTACAGCAGTTTCAGTTCTGTCCTGATAGAGATTTYAGCAAGCAATATGCTGGATTTCCCCAGGGACTCTGTTAACTACATTAAATTACCACATTTTAAGTCACCAGATAATTGTGCAGTGCATTTTGTAACAGCTTTCATCAAAGAGGGCTTTATCAACATTAATTAATTTAGTTTTCCACCACCTAGAGAAGCATTTAAACAATATTATTTTCATGCTGTGGGGCTCCCATGTTGAAAAAAAAAATCCTACATATGTTTAACTTTCTGTACTGTATCATCTCACTGAAGGCAAATTGCATTATTATTTTGGTATATTAGTCTTTGCAGGATTGAAGGCTGGCAAATTCTGTGGTCATGGGCTTCTACAAGAATGAGAAACTGAAAAAAATCACAGTGTTCTCACAGACATTGGGGTGGCAGGAGGTTCACACCATAACTGAGCTTTTGTACTGTGGTGAGGTCACTCACACCACAGCCACGGTTCAGCATCAGCAGCTTGCTAACATGCTGAATTGTCTTTCATTTGTATTTATTGATACCTGAGATACTTTATACCAGTGGCTTCCTACAAATAGAAAYGCTTTCCTTCAGGGAAGTCCAAAAYCAGTGCACAGGGTGCCCRTTTTTGTGCTTCTCTGGAACTTCTTTCCTTTGGACTAAACAAACACAATTTGTTCATTCTCTGTCCCTGAGCTGTATTTTCTAAGCCTGTCAGTACTCTTGTTTGGACTGAGATTGGCATAAATCATCCTTAAGTACATGACACCAATAATTGAGAATGCAATTGCAGCAAGGAGCAAAGACAGATAATTGTTGTTTGCTGTGTAGAACAGCAGTGTGGAGTGGCCCGTGCTTGGTTTGCAGTCACATCATGGTAATTTGTGACTGGCTCTGTTACAGCCCACAGCTCCAGCTCTGCCATCCTATTGCTAATCCTATCAATCAGTAGCTACTGCTCTTACCTAATCAATTGGGGTTTTTTGTTTTTTGTTTTTTTTTTAATCAGTGCCTTTGCTCTCTCCTTTCTGAATACAGCCAGTTGTACTGTTACCATTGATGTTCTGAACTCTTCTTGAATTTTATCCTACATGACAGTAGCCAGGGACAGTCCTCCAAACTCCTTCTAGCTCTTGATGTCCCATCTTCTAAGTCATTAATGGAAAATCCCTCTGCTCTGTTTCCTGTGATAACACAAAATCATTCTCTTATTTTTGAGTATGAGTTCCTGGCTGGTAGTGCTGAGATGTGGGACCAGCTATAACCTGTGAGAAATAGATTAAGGTAATTCAAGAAAAATGTGGTGATCAGGAGTTCCCAAGGTTTCCTTCCCAACCTTGTTCTCAGCTTGCTGCTCTCTCTCTGGCCATGAGTATTCCAGCAGGGAGTGTTAATGAGCAGTGTTTGCAAAGCACAAAGCACTGCTTTTGGACAATGGGACCCTTCTGATCTGTCCCTTCATACACAGCTTAATATTTTACATACTCACAGTACGGACACGGAAAATGTGAGCTAACCCTGAGGAGTGTGAAACCCACGTGGCAGGGAGGATGGAGGGGACATGGTGGTGACAATGCCATTCCAGATGAGGAGTAGTGCTGGAAAKYTGTGTGTTGGCTGTGTTTCCAAGGATTATGTCTCTCTTCCAAGCTTCCACCCCTTGCAACACCCTCGAGTGGATCTGAGGCTTGGCTGTGAGCCTCAGCTCTCCAGAGAGGGATTGTGATGCACTCACTTCCCCTGGTGCATGGGGAGGTACCAGCAGCTTTGTCACGTTTTCCCTTTTTCTGCCTTTTTGCCATGTTGGTGGTAGGGAGAGGTTGCAGCCAGCCAGCCCAGCAAATATAGAGGATCTTTAGGGAAGGAAGATGAGCTGTCTTTCCCATGGGAGTCCCTGCAGAGCTCAGATGCCCATGATGAGCCTGGAGAAGGGGTGTAGCTGTGCAGGCAGGATGGAGGATGTGTGTGTCTGTGTCCTGCATGTCCCCATGGCATTTCTGACTCTGATCAGGAGCAAACAGATGGCACTTGGTGTGTGAAACCCATCCTGAGAAACACACACAGGACAGGGTTTGCTGCTTCTGGGGCTGAACACGGGGTTGGGTGGGGAATTAGGGACTCTTACTGAGRGTGCTGGACAAGGAGAGGGAAACCCAAGTCCTACAGGTGGAAGTGTGACCCTGTAGAAAAAACTATTTGTGAGTGCTCATGGAGTAGCCCCATGTGTTTTCAGGGGATCTGTGGCTTGAGTTTGCACCCCCCCCCATTTTCTCCTTCCACCCACATGATTGATTTTACCAATACCTCATCACCTGCATTAATTCTTGTTCYTTTTCTCCCACAGGCCAGGGAAGGAGAAGTAGCCATTATAGACAGAGTTCTGGATAATCCAGCACTGACATCTAGAGACTTTCAAGAATGGAAACAAATGTACCTTGATGTCTTCATGAACATCTAYGAGAGCAGCCCCCAGAGGGACTCTGTGAATGGCTCCTCTGAGGTTGAAGCACTTTTAGCCTCGTTAGCACACACCCACTCATACATAGAAACTCATGTATAAAGGTCTCTCTTTTTGTCCATTTGCTACACTCCAAGTGCATAAAGTAGTTTTTATATCAACATGTGAGAGCTCTAGTAAATTATATTTTAATGTTACTCRGCTGTGTGAAGTAAACCTTTGATGGTCGACGATGCCACTTCTTTAATGAGGATTTGTATATTTTATATGCTACCAATGCTCTGCTTGTGTTTACCTTCTGTGAATTAAAAAACATGATCTTTAGCTATTGAAGAAAAGGATTTAAAAGGATTTTTGGAAGACTGTGGCCTTCGTGCAGGAAGTTCCACATGTTAAAGCTTTTGTTATCAAAGGTCACTTTTACAATGATATTTTATATTTTAGAATTCCAGTATTGCATTGCATTTTTTGGAGTGCAGGTACTATTTTGGTGGTGGGGGAAAACCAATTTTTATATTTCATGAGAAACTCTAGGAGTTTTCTTAAATAATAGTGGAAAAGCGTAATGCAGTGACTGTATTTCAGTTTTGTCAAGCACATAAGAGGGTGAAAATTGGCAGAGAGAAAAATGACAAATGTGAATTTAAGTATCAAAAGGTTAGGTCTTATTTCCTTGTGCTTTTTTTAAAGCCTGCTGCTAAGGTTTACCACCAGTGCAAATGGATGCTKGTTTGTATTATAATTAAGACCAAATTGTGTGTTGTTTGTCTCTTAATCAGATTAGGTTGATTTAAAAAAAAAATAATTAGTCATGGTACTGTGATTGATGATGCTTTTGCACTGAAGGTATCAGTATAATGTGCAGATTTTTAAAAAGAGAAAATGCAGACTTTCAACATCTTTGGTAGCAGCATTTTTTTTTGGCCCAGAAAAGCAGCAGTGGAAAAGGTTCCCAATGAAATGCTTCAAATCTGAGATCCTTTGAAGATTCCCACAATAGAAAAGGAGTGAATAGGATTTTTCAAGTTTTCTCTGTGTTTTCTGAGCTGTGAAAATTGGCTGTATTGTATGCAGGGATAATGTGTGATGAGAATGGAGCTGAGCACAGAACCTGAAAAATAAGTGAGGAGTGAAAAAGCCTCAGGTTTGCTTTTGAAGGGCAGGGATATCTCTGGGTTCTGCTGAGTTCACAAGCCCATTAAAATGTTTTAAACTTCCCTGAGATTTGCTCTCTGCTGAAGACAACCGAATGAATATGAGAGGAAATAGCTCCTTAGTTAGGCACATGCCTGAAATAAAAGTGGGAGGGAACTCTTAGATCATATATTTACTTTTTATGGGCTTCTTTTTCAAAAATGTTACGAGCATGACAAAATATTTCTGCTGCTCTTCAGTATTTTGCTGCAAAAGTTAGGACTCACGACATGATTTAACAATGCTCATGTGAAAAGGAAAAGCCTCCTTTATACTTTAGTGAGTTGTACTCTTAACCAACTTTAGACTATTGCCTGTACAGCTCAGTGAATGTACTTTAAACTTTATGAGCTCTGATATTTCCTGGCAGTTATATCCATGAAGGGATGAAGGAAAGAATGGACAGATTTATTTTCTCTCTCCTTCTTTCTTTCTTGATTTTATTCCTCCCTCTTTGTCCACTTTTTCTCTCTTGCTCCCCTTTATCTTTTTCTTTCTTTTTCTCTTTCTACCCCTCATTTTCTATCTTCTTACTGCATTTGGATTGCAAATGTTCTGCAGATTTTGCACAACTGTACAGAAGAGTGGCCTTTCTGTAGCCCATTTTCAGTAATCCTATATTCAAGTCATATGGATGACAAATCATGTATTAACGTTTGTATAGAATTCTGGATCCAGTGTAAGATTTGTACTATTAGAAGACTATTGTTTGTATAAACTGGACATTTATTTMCTGCATGGGTACTGACTTGTATATTAAATTTGTGAGGTTTTTGTAAATTTCTCTCAAGAAATGCTTGACTTGAAATGGATTGTGCTATTGTTCCAAGCATTTAGATTCTCTTGCTATTGTTTTACTGGACCAAAAGTAAATATATTCATATGAAAAACTCTTTATATCTGATGGATGTATATGCACATTGTGTAGTTGATTCCTTGTCAAAACCAAGGCAGTTCAGAAGACTTAGATCTGTTGCTATGCAACAGCCATTCTGCCTGCACTTTACATTAGTAAAGTTAGCTTGATTGCTTTAAAGGTGAAAATTAAACATTACAGTTTTTTAAGCTAGTCTAGTGACAAAGAACATGTGTCCTCTCCATTGTGCTGCCTTCTTTTAAGACTATTAAATGTTCTTCTATATATATTTTTATTGTATTAACTCTCAGCCTAGAAAGGGAACACTGTAAAATGAAGTACAATAAATTTAGCTTTTAAATGAACATTTACGGCTCGAGATTCCATTTAGTCCATACCAGAGTGACCCTGTGGCATCTGACCATTTTATCTGCATTTCACATACCCATGGTTCTTAAAGTACCCCTGTGTGACTCTGAACTCTGCCAGTGTGGCCAAAAGGGAGTGACACTATTGCAGATTCATACGTAGGCAGGCACTGAGTAAAGACTTCTGAAAACCYTCAGTTGCCTCCCTCCCCTTTGTACTGTTTGTTGAAAGTAAACCATTTTTGACTGCAGGATTCTCTCATGTGGCAGTTTGACAGCAACAAACAATTTTACCATTATGAACGGCTGTGATAAAACAGCATATGGTACCGAGGTGAATGTCAAGGCATTAGTAACAGCTTGTTGCTCTTGTAAYGAGCTTTTTGGAGTCTAATAATAAGGATATCCATTCAGCCCTGGCCACCTAAGTTTGGACACTAAAAAAATTTACATCATCAGTAGTGTGCATTTTTAAAATAACACAAAGTAAGCATCTGGACATTGTTCTACCACCAAGGCCACTGAAAGAGAAATGGCTTCTATCAAACAAGCACTGTTTTAACTTGCAACCATAGCTGAGTCTACATAATGAAAAATCCGTGTTTTCTGTCCAGTAATTTCATGCTGGTTAGCTAAGACATTCTTGCCTAGTACATAGCATATCAAATAATACCTTTTCCTTGGCTGTACTTGCTRCTAATTCTTGTAGGCATCAATTTTYTAGTCTTTATRCAGCTCTCTTTCATTTTGCTTAGCTATARCATAAAAACTCCATAGCACTTACCAGCTGGGAAAAAGTACTTCTGATTAAGAAAACAGAAAAGATGGATTCAATTTTTTAATATTTGAAAAATCTGACTTGCAACACCTACTAATTGCTATCTAGGYATTACTCTCCAAAAGTCAAGGATTACAATTCTCACTCTTCACCTCTGAACGTGCTGCTTGCTACATCCTCGCTCAGTGAGATCAGCATTCAGCTTTATGAATCCTAAATGTGTTTCCTGTGCTGGAGCCAGATTTTCTTGCCTCTTTCMACCGAGCATTTGCCTTATCCAAGCACAGCTTCCACCTGCACGTTCAGTGGCGCTGCAATTTTCTTCTTCTCCAGGACCGCCCTGCTCGCCCATCACCCAGGATGGAT